TATAGTTCCCTATAGTAAATAAATCTGAACATGACTTTTACCACGTTGAAAAGGAATTTCCAATACAGGTTCTTAGAAAAAAACCTACCTTGACGGCGGTACAATAAAAGTCGTATTACGTAGCTTTGCAATGAACTCATAATTACTGGTAAATGCTCTTCAGATTTAACAAAGGTGAATGCACATTAAACATCACCGGGTCCGTCAAAAACATCACCGCCGATAAGTTAAAAATGTCTCCATATTTCACACTACTGCTTCTTCTTTTAATTAACGAATCTTTAGCTAAAGGTGAGAGAATATTCTAATATAAATATTTTAGTTCATTAATTGGGTGGTGCTTGCTTATGAACAGTCTTTTGAAATAAGATTTTGTTCCTCWGTTGATTCAATGGGAATTCATRACCATGACCGCTATTAGATTTTAGTTTGCATTTTGTTGTTCGTTGTTGAATTTYTTGAATTTTCTATCTCTTCCAATCCTGCTATAGTTGACGCACTTAAATTCTGTGAAACAAGCTTAAGTAGTACTAATTACTACTAAATAGTGGTATCTAACAATAGAAAACAAAGAAATTAACACACTCGAGTACTATTTTGTACCACTTAAGTTTCATGGATCGGTAAGTATATACTGGATCTATTATCACTGAATAATAAATCCTTCTATATATTATTGGTTTGCTTGGTATGTGCTTCACTAATAAGCATAYGGTTGTAATGGTAAAATGAACTTCACCAAAGAGCTGAATTTTTTGTTACACATAGGCAAGACAAACTCTACTAAAACCAAAGTTGCSCATGKGTTGAAAAAATCMAARCCACAYCACAAATCCGCTCAACGTAAAGGTTCCATGGTATTTGAAGAAACCTCTAAAGAAAAAATCAAGTCGTCCCTCGACAAGTCGTTTGGACTTCTTAGTCCTTGGAATAAAAATACGGGGGATGTTTTCACGGGGTGCTTGGGTCAACAGGACGGGTTATCAGATCAACAAGCCGGCTTACTTAATCAACCAATCAACCCAATGATGCGGATTAATGGATATCCCATCAACCCGAAGGGCTCCAAATCCTTGAGTCAAACACTGGATGGAAATCTCGAAGAAGAAGAAGAYCTGAAGGAGGTCATGTCTCAGATAACTGGACGAAGGGCCGCCTTCAGAGGACACAAGTTTGGTGGGGGCTGGAGACCTTTGAGGCCGATAAATTATCCAATGCACCGTATGTCGCAAGGAATGGCGGGTAGAGGAATGCTGGGAAATATTAATGTGAATGACGGATATAGGAGAGAAAAAACAATCCATGTGCACGCAAAAAGAAAAAATGACATTTTCAAAAATCTTCATGGTTTGATWCTTAGGAAGATGTATGAAAAACGACTTGCAAAGCTACGTGCAAGAAGACTGCAACTTTTAAAACTACAGGCAAGGAGGCTTCGGATTCTTAAACTCATGAAGAACGTTCAACAAGCAGATAAAATGAAATTAATGAATTGTTAATATTTTAGCATGTTAATACTTGTGAATAGGGTTGTAAAGAAGTTTGTAAAGTCATCGTAGATTGTTATTCAGCTATATACAGCATAGAACTCGATCTGATCAATGTATAAAATTATCACTATCCATTCAGTATCTTCAAAACACCTATCACTAAATCACTGTGATCGTAGCCATCAGCAAAATCGTGATCCAATCAGTTTCAACTGTCCCATCATGCGATCATCCACCAACCACAAACACATTCATGTTTCATCACCACCAAACAATTTCATCTTCATCATCTTCAATTGATCAATAACACTCATTCCTTTACCATCAGTAATAGCGCCAAGACCATCATTTTTTTTACACTAAAAGATAATGCATCTTTTTTATACGCATTTACAGTTTGCTTGGTGTTGTTCTACCATTCCAGTTTTGTGTTGAATGAGATAGATCGATAAATTGTAATTAGGGAGTGCGCAATATTTACCAGGAGGGGTGGGATGATGGGTTGGGGTTGAGAAATGAGACAAAAAATCAAAAAAGGTATTGATATTCCCCCTCGCAAACGAAATAGACAACGCTCTGCCTCCCTATGAATTTATTTATTTATCATTCGTGAAAAAACAGTTGTCGCAAATCGTGGCACGCTTTCCTTGAGAAGTTTTCCACTTCAATACGTATTTGGCCAAAAAGCACAGAATCTGACACCGTTGAGTTTTCAGCTTCCAATTAAAGTTCTAGTTAATTTTAAACGTTGCCCTACCTCTTTAAGCACATATAATAAGATTTTGCCCCGCCCCCCTGATAAAAATTGCGCACCAGTCAAAAATATTCCCCATTGCAAAACCTGGCTGTACGTATTCTATTTGATAAAAAGAAATTTGATCACTGATAACTCAAGCAATGAAACAACGACCACATTGCAACCATCACCAACCGTATCATCATTGCATCAGTATCATTCAGGACCTAGCGAGAAATTACCTCGGGGAGGGCGGTGAGATGATGACCACTAGGACATATTCTAGAACCGATTAAAAAAGGAGGCTAGAATATAGGACATATAATGGTATAGGCATAATTAAGATCAGCAAAGACATCAGGGAAGGCACCAGTTGATTGTTGAAATTTTGTAGGTCTATTAATTTTGCACTCTGTCTTTTCACAGTTGCAATCGGCCCTTACTCCACCTTGCTCTTTTAGCTTGACCAATTCCTGTTTGCTCCTCATTTAGATAGTGTCACAATACGGAGCAGTACCTTAGAATTTGGCAAATCTAATAGACGTATGAAGGAAAAACTATAAATATACGATTTTTTTAATCGTTTAACTATGCGTGCCCTCACCCCTTATTTCATTGTCCTCACAAAAGTCAATTCTTGCTACGATCTTGATTACTTTCCATAATAATCGCTACAACTCTAGATGCTTGCGTAGAATCGTAAAAATGTACTTTGTATGTTTTCCACTATGGAATACCATAAGCACTTAAAAAGATAACAGCCGTGACGACCATGACCTGTTTATAGATCACAGTACCACCGGTACCATGAATAATAAATGTGTTTCTTACAAGAAGACAGAAAAAAAGCAATACATTGTATCCAAACATTTCAAGATAAAAATACAATAACTTTTACTGGAAAGCTTTTGGGAAATGAATAGGTAAGTTGATAAAAGTCATAATTTCCAAACCTTTCGTTCGTGAGATAAAGATACTGCAGGAGAAATGAACCTTAAAGTTTTGAAGTGGTCACCAAAGTATCACTGGCACCTTATGAACAATTTTGTGGAAACTGAAATATTATCTTAGCATATTGCTTAAATAAAAAAAAGGTTTGCACAAAATTTCACTTGTTGCATCTCCAATTATAAAAATAATTACATAAAGAATTTGACTAATAAAACTCTCAACGACTAGAAGTGTTTTTCCTCGATAAGTCGACCCTCCATTTGTTTTCCATGCAATGTTTGTTCGATCAGCTTAGAGCTTGGATATAACGTGTTCCACAGTGCAATTATGTGGTTTATAACCGCACTTGATTTTTCTGAAGATAACATAATTTTAATTATATTAAAAAAACGTGGTCATTTTCAAATCGTTTTGATTTGGAAATCTCCATATTATTTGACGTCGTAAACCTTATTTAATTTGCACTTGTTGTCTTTTTTACAATCCGGAATTTTCCGGTAAAGTTCGATGTCATCTGGCATCCTGTAAGCACAGATACAGACGAATACAGATCTCAAACTTACCTTCATACTGTCAGACCTCTTGTACTTGGATGTCAACAAAGCAGTAGAGCTTACGTCTCATGTACCCTCCAGTAGTTACATTGCTAATCTTAAATTTTCATCCAGTGTCAATACTAACTCGCTTTATTGTTAAAGCCAAATCAAAAGTCTGGTCAGCATGTTGAAAACCCGAATGTGCTCTAGATAAAGTATTTCCTTTTATCGAGTAGTCTTTTTATATCTTACTTCTCCGAATTTGCTTTCTTACGCAGCTTGTTTATGCTGATGAGCAATTAATGGACTTGTGATCAGTGCAAACCATGCATTTCAAGTTACTAGTGACATCAATTCTTGTAGTGTGCGCAACGTCTCGGCATATAAAAGGTTTGTAATTGTTACAAGTGCCTTTTCTCCAGTCAACGATGTCATGTCTAAACTTTGAATTTCATTGTTCTTAGGTTCCCACAAATCAAGCCATAATGTCGTCAACCGCCAACAAATTGCAAACGCAGGCCAGATGGTACAAGTAAATGATCTTATTCGAGAACTTAATCGACAACAAGCTAACTCAAATAACGGTCCAGTAGAGTTATCACCAAACAATGCTGAAGCTGTTAATGGACCGACAGGTGCTGGAATRGGCTTACCATTCGGCACGTTGAACTCTAGAATTGACAAAAACCCTCTAATTGGAGCTAATGGACTGTCAAAGAGCGCGCTAAATRACATCATGTTTGGCAATTTCAAAGGACTAGCAGTCCCAGAGGGAAATAATATTGCTTCGTATGCCAGCGAACAACCTGAAAGTGTTCAGGGAGGAGAAATGAGACAAATGCTAGGGGGACAAGATAATAGCCTTCAATTACTAAATGGAAATAGAATGAACGGAAATGGAATGGGTAACAACATGATGTCCAACCTTGCGAMTTTAGCTGCTGCCAACAACTTGGCTGGAACTCAAGGCCTTAATGGCTTTAACGTAAATCCGAACAACGGTTTGTCAATGACTACAGGAACTATGAGTTCGTTAGGTTTGAATGGTGTCAGCCCAAACCTAATTGGACCAACTGGAATGAATTCTTTTCCTGGGGCGCCTTTACAGGTTCCTAATCCAGCACTTGGAATGCAGTTTATGTCTCAACTAAGCAATATGAATGCAGGAAACGATGGCGATGAGGAGGATTTCCATAGGATGCATCACCACAGGCGGCATCACAGGCACCACAAGCATCGAAAGTCGACCACAAAGTTATTGCTGCGTTTATTAGTTGATAAAATGAAAGACATCTACGAACTTGATAAAATGACCACAAAGCCCAAAAACAAGAAGACAAAGTCAGAATCCGCTGGAGGAAAGATAGGATTAACTCTTGACGATCTAGGAGTTCCTAAAGATGATGTTCATCGAGGAGACAAGACAAAAATTACAGATAAGTTTAAAACTAAATTCTCCTTTCCAGTCACAGTCTCAGATGAAACTGAACATCAACATTTGAAGTTAAAATCAGATGATGATAATGCKGGGAATTCAAGCGACGATGCAGACATTCAAAAGATACTATCAAAGCTTAATATTGGAAATGATGGRTCTGGATCCGGGGCGGAGCCTTCTAAAAAAAGTGAGGATCTGAAGATTAGCGAACTGACAGATTCAGTTTCCAAGGATATTGCAGCTGCAACAAGATTTGCAGAGTCTGCATCGAAAAGAACGATGTTAGAAATTAAAGGTCAAATATTCAAAGATGAAAAGGCAAACTCACGGGACTCTATCAGAAACTTGAAATATGGAACTGACTTCCATGGAGGGAAAACAGACAATGATATGCATACCAAACCAGGAGTAAAAAAGTCCAAAACATCAAACATCCTAGGGATKGAAGACTTTGAAGGCTATGATAATGCCAAAGTGATAGCACCAAAAATGTTTTCGATGTCGTCTATTCTCAACGGCGCAAAAAACCATGATGACATTGAAGACACGCCTACTATGCACTCAAAACTGGCAGATAGTCTGCTCGATTATATTCCCAACAAACGAAAGGCATTTCCTGAAGTGGACAATACCCCTATGGTCCCATCAGACATCAATCCAGAGGAAGATAGATTGAAGGGTCTCACTGAAACAATATACCATGATGTGACATCCAAGGTCGAAGACGGCGCCAATTATGTAAAAAGTGCTCGAGTGCTAGGATCAGTGTTTAAAAAAGTGAAAGATCCCGTAGCCAAGAAAAGCATYCAGACTGCAATCAAAGCCATGTTGGAGGTTATGAAGTACAAGGCTATAGATAAAAAAGAATCTTCTTCGAAGAAGTTTAGCTTTCCGGCTGATGCCAACGCAGTACTTTGGCAACAGATTTACAACTTGAACGGTGTGCTGCAAAAAATGAAAAAGCATCTACACCATAAAAGAAAAGAATAGGCATGCTCAGTGTTATGGGTCGGTTATGATAGCCCACTCATCACAGCGTATACGATATGTCACTAAATTGTGTTTTAAAAGATGCTACATCATGAGGGAGTTTGTGTTTTTTATTTGATGTCACATTGACCATGGTGATGCCTCATTGAAAAATGAAGATTTTCCATTAGTATCCATTTTTCAGAACACCAACATAAACTTCTGGTTTCCAAGGAATAATAGAAAATCACTACTTTTTGAATATTATATATCTCAGCGGAACGTAACTACATTATTCGGAGTATTAGAACTGAGTTGGTGCTATGATAATTGTACGCTGAATATCGAAGAAAACATTCATTTAGTACAGTTTCCTAAAGAAGCTTATTACTTAATCATTTTGGATTTCAAACTTCACTTTAAGTTAAAGAGTGAATAAACTTTAGTTTCCTTGAGCAAAACCTGTTAATGTGTCTCGACTTATAGACAAGGGCGGATCCAGGGAGGGGCAAAGGTGTACTGTAGCGTCTCCTCAAAAGAAAAAAAAGAAGAAAAAAAACGGTTACTGTTTTCTTTATTTTCAATGTTATTTATAACAAATAAAGCCATTTAGCACCCCCCCCCCCCCCCCCCTTCCTCCCCTTCAAATTTCATACATTTGTTTTAATTATGAAGCGTTTATGGAAAAAAAATTCTCAAAAGATGGCGGCGAACATTGCACACCCGCAGAGGTCCATTATCGTGAATAGTGTCCCCAGTAAATGGTAAATATAGAGAGGTGGACTCAATTAAATGAAGTTAATTTGGTATGATGACTACAACGACCTTATTTTCAAATGACTCATGTTTCAATTATACCCGTTAAGCTTTGCGGCTTAGGTTGCACACCTCCTGAGGKATTAATCATTCAAATTCTGCATCAATCAACTGTCATTCCCCAAAATAAATACCTGACAAATACCAGTCACCTTAGACTGACCCTTTGTCAAGAGCTAACTTGCTAGAACTGAACTATTGACCCATACTGACATCAACCTGTTTCCTATCTTTTTTTTAATTTCAATTTTTAGGAAAAGCTTTCAAAGTAAGGAAACTCTGTTGCTTGCAAACCGAGATACCTGGATATCACAATAAATAAGTCGCAAAGGAAATGATAACATTTTATATGGTTACAAACGCTGGTAAAAGAAAAGCTGGCAAATCAAGATGCATATCTAATTATGTTGATACTTACATAATTAATAGTTAACGATATTGTTTCAAGACCAAAACCAAAAGGGAGAATTGAGTTTAAAATGAAATATCGTTTTACTTCTTTATAAATTGATTCAATATATGCCTGTTCGTGGAGATTCGAAACCAATGTAGACAGAACACAGATTTCAAGGTAAGAAACATCATTGGTCGAAGAATATGGACACTAAAGCTTCTAATGTATACATAAACATATCAAAATTGCTCGTAACAATCTTTGGCAATTTGCCTTGTAAGGGTACAGCACCATTAGATAATTTCTGCCATTTCGAAAGAATTTATAGCTAAAAGAAAAAAGAGCAAGAATTGAAAAATGATGATCTGTTGCACTCCTTTCATAACAAGAATTTGTTCATTTGTTTTTTCTTAGTTCAAGCATCTTCTTCCAAATCTTCCCAATGAAGTCTTGTCTTGTAGCGTTCCTTGTTGTTCTTTTTTGCATAAATATTGAAGGTGAGCTCGTTTGTTTTAACAATTTTATCAATTACATTCGCCGGCGAGTTAATTGATAAATTGGTTGGAGTCTCACATAATGTATGTCGATCTTTGAATCGTAGGAACCAAACATGAACAACGAGGACATAAACACAACAACACCCAAAACAGCATCGCAAAGAAAACCGAATCAAAACTTGGAAGTACGGACAATATCAAGCGGCCGGGCATAGGACGATTTTCTTTGGATGTACAAAAGAAATCTGAACGTTCAAAACGGAAAAAAACTACCGAACATAAAATAAAGAAGTCCATGCATAAAACTAAGAGACTTTTGAGAGAATTCAAAAAATGCATGCGTATTTATGGTGTAAAACACTGCAAGAAAMGGAATAACTTCAAAAAGGCTATGATATGGCCCAAAAAGATGCTTCCGGCTTTGGAGAAGATGATTATGAAGAAATTAAACGGAAATACAGACAGCGGATATGATAACTATGATAATCCTATGAACGGCGCTGGTAAAAATGACTTTGCAGATAATTGGGATAATGTGAAACCATCTAATCCTCCTCCACCGCATCCAAATATGTTCAACGGCATGGAAGTGGTGCCTTTGTTGAAGATGCTCAAAGAAAAGGTTGGGGACTCACCTTCTTACGATTCTAATAGTTTCACGGCTTCGATGCCAAGCAATCAGGGGGGATCTAGATACTACACAAAGATGCTCCTAAACCAAGCACTAGGCAAACCTGACCGAGGCGCAGTCATGAAAGATATGATGCAAGAATTTTATCTCGCTAACAATAATGAAAGAAGCGGTCAGGAAGCTCGTGAAGCTTTTAGTGAACTCATGGGGCAYAATAACCTCATTAAAACCAACACCGACATGGTTGCGGGTAATTATAMTTTTAACGGCGGAATGACTCCCCAAGCTTCTGAGGATTCTCAAGTTGAAAGGATGAACATGCCGGAAAGGATGCAAAACTTTGCTTCTCAAGAAGGAGGTGGTGGTGAAGGTGCTGGGATTCAAAGTTTTCAAGGGTTTGGAGGAGGAGGAGGAGGAGGAGGAGGAGGAGGAGGAGGGACGGGAGGCGTAGCATTTGCAGGGAACACAGGAGGAGTTCTTCAAGCTCAAGAGCTACCAAACGGCAGGATAGCACCTGTAAATCAGCMAATGATGACAAGACCTAACATGCAGGAAATGATGCCTCTTAACGCCAACCCAACGACCAGAATGCTTGGAAGTAGTGTCAAGCTCTCGAATGGACCACTGATTGGAGATCAAGTCATGGAGGACCAAATGCCGGCCAACGTTGCTGCGATGCACGATTCTAATTCTAGGCCAATTTTTATGCCAAAAAATAATAATCTCGTTTTTGAAGAACAAGGTGAAAATTCAGCAAGGGAGATCAAAGCACAGTCATTTCCAACCGGGAATCAGTACTTTGCTAGAAATGCCATGAACCTTGGAGAAAATTACCAGGCGTCTCGTATACCAGAATCCAATCTTGCTGCGGCAAATGGAGGATTTGAAATTCAAGGCAATAAGTTTGCTTCGTTTGCTCCTGATTTCCAAACAATCCCACAAGAATTAATTCCATCGAGAAGAGACAATTTACCAGCCAATCGCAAACATCATAAATCTACTAAAATTAAAAAAGCACCAATGCGTTCAAAACATCTGCATACAAGATCAAACGACAAGAGCTTCAAAAAGGCAAAAAAATCGACAAAAAAATGTTGAACTGTTGAATTTTCAAAAGATTGCTAAACTCAAATAGGATTGTCAAGTATTGGAACTGATAAAGAAGCTTAGGATGTCTGGAGTGACGAAGTAGTGATATTGCATGCATGTTTATAGGGAGAGCTGAAAATATAGTATGCTCGCAAATTTCCTATTCTGATGCATGTGCCTTGTTCTCGTCCTGTTTTTTCGCCTACTAAACAAAACGAAACCTACACATTTCAATTTAAAAGAAGCGGTTCATCTTTATAATTGTATGATTGTTTCTTAGAAACTTAGCATCTTTAAAACAACCTATACAGACCAAAACCATTTCGATAGATCATCAAATCAAATGCAAATTTGAGCTTGATTTAAGACTTGAGTTATCATAGTTTTAATCCAAATATAATATCAGTAAACATTAAGAGATATATGTTAAAATTTACTGAATCCAACTGTGAGAAGTGTACCTCGATTTGTGCTATTAAATAATGCATTGGATATTCGAAGCTTATAGTGTGCAAAAAGGACAGAGAAAATTGTTTAATGGCCAAAACAGGACCGTGGTACTATCCATTTGGCCACGCCAATTACACTCTCCCCAGGAAAAACTAAGCGAATTCCCGAAAATAGACAGTTATGTTTCGATTTTGTTCCAGAGAAAGAGAAGAAACCAAGAAAAATCAGAGCTCAATTGGAATAGGCCTGAATATGTGGCCTTTTTCCTGATAAAAAATTAATATGACGCCCAATCTGGGGCTCGAACCCACGACCCTGGGATTAAAAGTCCCATGCTCTACCGACTGAGCTAACAAACTATGTACTTATTGACTGAGTGGGAGGGCCGTACGGGAAAATATTTGGCTCGAGGTTATGCCGTACGGACCGAGCGCAGCGATCATATGACAGCGTTTTTTAATGTTAAAAAAAAAAAATAAATAATAGCGCGCGGAACTTCAAGCCGGGAAAATACGGGTTTGTACGGACCTGTCGCGAAAAGGCGTACGGACCCCATCACGTGACCATTTTCCAAAGGTTTCAGTGAGAGCGCGCGTAGGGCCGAAATACGGGTCATATGATAATATGGCCTATGGCATCCTGATTGGCTACTGAACTATAATATAATACTGAATTATAATAAATAATTGAGGAAAGTGGGCTCAAAAGTGACATCTTTTTCTGTGGTTTTCACTCCGCATAGAGTCGTCACAACCTGAAAGGTATATCAGTAATACACACCTTCGAGGCTAATGATGCAGAAAATGAACGCCAATTAAAGCTGGATTTCTTTTATAGAACAAAATTGTTTAACGACCACGCCAGGACTCGAACCTGGAATCCCCTGATTCGTAGTCAGATGCCTTATCCATTGGGCCACGCGGCCAAAC